GATCACACTAACAAAAAATCGGAAATCGGAATCGGCCAAGAAAATTGCAATCAGTGCATCTCTAGAAGTAGCAGTACTGGCTTCCTCTGTATTTTGTCTGTCTGTCAGATTAAGAGGTGTTGATGAGGTTTGTCTGACGAACAGCTACAGACTCGAGAATAACTAACATAACTATTTTACATTTTCTAAAGAGAATGAATAGTTCAAAAGTCTCAGCCTTGATGCTACCTTGTAGTGGTTGGTTGTTAGATTGTCACAGGATCCCACCCCAGCCAGCACCTCTAAGATTATCTGGTTTGATCATAGTCCACAAGTAAAAAAAAAAACAAAACCTCAAAAACATCTCCTCCACAAGCCGCATGATTACAGGTATTGATTACTGCAGCAAAGTTTAGTATCTAGGGCTAGAGCTTTATGAGTACATTAGCAAGGACTACATAGTTTTGATAGCTTCCCTGTATAGAACAATACGCTCTATCCATTTAAAGTGGGAAATCTCTTAAAAGGGAGTCATTTTTGTGATCCTTTGAACATGCAAAACTGTAAAACTCATTATTTTGAGTGAATTTGTATTGTGACTTGTTCAGGAAAAGGAAAGAGGCTTGTGGTTAAGGATCTTGGCTGGTTGCAGGTTTGATCTAAGGGGCACTGGGGCAGCCCAGGATCAGAAGAGCTACTGAATTTGTTCCAGTTTTAGCACCATTTGATTTAACCTTAAGCCACTTTAACCCCTGTTTTCTCCTAATTCAACTGTTCCTTTGTCTTCTACAGTAACACATATTGTGAGTAGGGAATCCTTCAAATCTGATGCTAGTTCATAACTTCCTAAATACAGCTTTGGCTTGTTAAATTGGAAGTTAATGGGAACATTATGGTTCTTTACCCCATGAGGTTCTTACACACCTCACCTTAAGACTGAGAGTTAAGCTGACACAATCCTGCTGAGAAGGACTCACTGTGGACTTTTCTTAGTCTTAGAGACAGTCTAATTTGCTTAGCCATTAAGTACTCAAGTTAGACAGAGTTGAACATAAAGTCTCGCTGTGATTTGTTATTAAGTTTGGCTCGATATTCAGAGCGCTGCATTTAAAACTCTTCATGAAAAACACTGCTATTTTGCTGATGGATCGGCGCGCAGCTTGATTTCTCTCTCGGCCTTGGCACAAGCGCCGGTGAAAAAACTCCCTCCAACAGTAATACAGTATTTTATTCTCATGCAACAGTCCAATTTCACATTTACTATAAACTCTAAACATTGACTGCTGTGTTTAGTGTGATTAGTCAGTCAGAATGGCTCAAGTAAATGAGCAGTAATTGACTAAAATAAACTATAATCTTGTGCTGTGGTATTTCCCAGGGATTGTCATTACATACTTTGGCAACATCTAATTGGTCTTTAATATGCGCTATTTTTGGTTGCCTAGTTGTAGGTCAAAAATGACAGTTTGTTCATGAATTGGCAAATAAATTACATCAGCTTTTCCTGGTGTATTTTTGGATGCTGGAATTTCCTCGTGTTTTATGGGTCTGTTGGCTGACTTGAGCTGGAAGGGCTTTATTTAGGCTTCCCTGTATAAAACCGCAACCTTATAGTCACAATTCGCAACCCAAAAATCAAGACTCCTTGTAGGGATGTAACGGTATGAAAATTTCTTATCACGATTATAGTGACCAAAATTATCACGGTTATCAGTATTATCACGGAATTGTTAAAATGTGCTGGAAAATTACATGGAGTGAAGATGAAAACAAAGACAGTCAGAAACTTCAGAGGGAGATTCATATAATTAATTCATTCATATATTCATTTGTATAATTCCCTTAGCACTCTTTTAAAACCTCCCAGCTTTTCTGCCCTGTTTTCACGCAAAACGAAACTACTCCGCATGTTGTGCGCACGTGAGACTGTTACTTAAAACTGTGCTTTATGCTGGATAGTTTTTATTCTATCAAGTTGTTCAAATCGCGGTAATCTAATACGGTCGTCAAACCGGTAATCGTTGCATCCCTAACTCCGTGTGTTCCGTCTAGCTGTTTTTGAGTATGTGAATGTGTCTAATCTGTGTGTGATGGACCTGACCCTAACCAGTACAGTAAACAAAGGTTTGCTAGTCAGCTAGTCCTTCATACAAAATATGTAATTTTGTGCGTGTCCTGAAGCGATATACAGTACACTTCCTGCAGCGACAGTGAGAGGGTGAAGTGTTGCACTCAGGAGTATAGCAGTGATAATTATGATTCATATATTTACTGAAACACTGCAGCTTGATGAAGTAGCTGCGGAATTTGGGATTGGTGCAGTTCTGCAAGGGAGTGAAGTTCAAAGGTCAAGGTATTTCCAGATGGGAATGAGATTTTGCAAAATCAAGTTCCAGTCTGAGGTTAAAGATAATGAGGTGGGGACATCTGTCCGATATCAAACAGAGGACTCTCTCTCTCTCTCTCTCTCTCTCTCTCTCTCTCTCTCTCATTGATTGGTGGAAAAATCAGCTTGTGTTTATAAAGTTAGTTATGTAATGTTATTCTGTAAGTGTTTGTACTAGAGCCCGACCGATATATCATTTAGCCGATATTATCGGCCGATATGAGCCTGTTGCCAATATATCGGTATCGGCGAATATGCCGCCGATATGAAAATTTTTTTTTTACAGAACATATAACGCAGATTAAATGCTTCTGAATGGTGTAATTACTTAGTTTGTCCAGCAGAGCGCGCTCCATTTATATTTGATCGTCACATTACAATGATTCTAATTCTTTATTTTGCATGATGATATGATGAATGGATGGTTCATTTTAACAGCAGATTCAGTGACGTTAGAGACTAGAGCTGATCTGCGCATCACGGCACGCGTCTGCGGCGCATTAAAGCCTGTGTTAAGGCCACCAGAGCTGATCGCGGCTGGACTGGTGTTTATACATGAACGTTATATATAACGCGGAATTTCTTGGAATTTGTGTTATTTTTGATGAATAAATAAAAAACAGGCCAGTATTTAAATGTGTGCTGAAATAAATCCCGGAAAAGATCGATTCGCGGCTTTTGAGAAGCGATATCGAATCGATGTCATTTAAAAAAACGATTAATCGAAAAATATATTTTTTTGCCCAGCCCTAATCAATGGCCTCGTCTTTTACTCTCACAATGAGCTTATCATATTAGTTTGCTACATTAGTAGGGCTCTGTGATTTCCGCGATGCAGAAAACATGTACGGAAGTAAACTTTTGACTATACTGTACTATAATATAGCCTACACATAAAGAATATCGCCCGATATATCGGTATCTGTCTTTTTTACTCCCTAATATCGGTATTGGCATCGGCCCCCAAAAAACCCATATCGGTCGGGCTCTAGTTTGTACTTGCTATTACTAGATATAGAGAAAATGTGCATTTTCAGTTAGCCCTGTCATTTTGAACAGAACAGGACTGTATGCACGATCACGTCCAAGTTTAGCCCCATGCTGTGGTCACACTAGTCTTTGAGCACGAAACATTTTTACGGAAACATAAAAATATTCTACTCCGCTTTACTGCATCACTGCTGACCTGCAGATTTATGTCTGGTTTTATAGACGAGGCTTAAGCCTAGTCCCAGACTAAAATACATGTTTTAGCTGTCTTAACTGAAAGCAACTTGAATCTTAAAATATGTCAGTGCGATTGATTTGTATCAAGATGCACACCAGTAGTGATTTTTTTTCCTAAACTAACCAAATTTTTGTGCCGAACATTTGTGATGGTGTGAACAGGCCTTTATTCTAATGGCAGGACACTCTTCCATTTTTATTAAATTAATATTTCATATGTGAATCAATATAATGTATTATAGGTTTTGCATTGTTGAATTCTAAAATCTGTCAAAACATTTTTTGAAATTTTTTTGTAACGCAGGTACTGAAGTTTGCTACTGACAAGTTTTGTACATATATGCGTCACATTAGTGTATGTATTTTTGACCAGAATTACCTTTTCGCATTTACCTAAGACACTGAATGAATTTTTCTGTGTGCAGGCACTTAAACTGGACTGCAGTCTCTCTGACAGACGGTGTGAATCATGGCTCTTCCGTTTAAGAAAGATCTGGAGAAGTATAAGGAGATTGATGAGGATGAGATTCTGAACAAGCTGTCAGAGGAGGAGCTCAAGCAATTGGAGATTGCTCTAGAAGAGATCGACCCTGAGGTGAGAAATTGTAAACTCACAGTTTACTCACATGATGGAGATTTACCAGATCACACTGCTAGAACGAAGGGATCAGTTAATAATGGGTTTGTTCACCCAAAAATTAAAAATCTGTATGACTTATTTTCTTCTGTGGAGCAAAAAAGAAAAAAAAATTGAAGAATGCTGGTAACAGTTTTGGTGACTATTGACTTAGATTGTATAGACAGGCTAAGAATTTTACCTATTTTTAATTTTACTATACCTTTAAGCACATGCAAATTAAAAGTGTGGAAAATCAGTCCTAAATATGGTTGTTAAAATGTGGAAAATTTCCAGTAAATTTCGGAAATATTCCAGAAATTTTGGAAACTTTTGGAATTTTTTTTTGAATATTCCAGGGATTTTTGGAAAGTTTCCGGAAGTTTAACTGAAATTTTCCACCCCTTTGCAACCCTAGTCCTAAAGATAGAAAATGAATCATTTGTAATTAATAATAAGTTGTATGTATTGCGAAAAGGCTTACAAAAACCAGACGCAAACAATCACCATGTCATTCCTGGTAATTCACTGATAGCCAAGTGATGATGTAATTCACAATGCTGTTATTGTGATGATGGGTGTGGTCGTATATAATTTTGAACTGCAACGATAAAGTGTTGGTAAAGTAAAATCACTTGTTTTGTTGAACTGTTGAAAATGGCCATTTCCAAATCTGCCTTGAGGAGGTTCTGGTAAGACCTCTCATAAACAACTCTGTGTCTGTTTGTTTATGAGTAAACCGAGCTCAAGTTTGCTCCCAAACACAAGAGCTTCCTCTTAAGCAAAAATATCTCAGCTGCTTTTCCTATTAAGCAACAATTTAGAAAACAACACAATTTTGACATTTAGTGTACAGGTTCACATCATTACCAAGCAAATAATAGTTATTATTTACTTAAAAATTAAGCAATGGATTTTGTGTAACTTGGCATGAAATTTGTGAGACATAAAAGTTCCATAGTATAACTGGTACCACATCTGTTCTGAATCCATTTTCCAGAATGCTTTGCTGCCAGCCGGCCTCAGGCAGAAGGACCAGACCACAAAAGCAGACACAGGTTCTTTTAACCGCGAAAAACTGCTGCAGTATCTGGAGAAGGAGGCAATGGACTATAAAGACAGAGAAGATTGCGTCCCCTTCTCCGGAGAGAAGAAAGGTACTAGGATGATATTTTTGATATCCCTCTGATATTTGATACTGCAGTAAACATTAACAGAAACACCACAAAAAAAAAATCTCATCTCTCATTCTGATGGGATTGGATGTAGTGGTGCAACGGATCACAAAACTCACGGCTCGGATCATATTACGGATTTTGAGTCACGAATCGGATAATTTTTCGGATCAGCAAAAAAAAAAAATTTGTGAAAGCATACTTTAAGTAATTAAATACCACAGCAAAAACTACTAGCTTAACTAATAAAGTTAGTAATAAAACAAGAACAATTACACAAATTAGAAGCATAGATGAATACAACAAAACAGTTACAAATAAAGTCAGTAACAGTAGCATTCAGGTGCAGAAATGTAATAATTAAGTGTAAAATACAATAGTGCTCACTGCTAGGCATGTCGCAATAATCAATATATCGACTTATCGTGCAATATATGTACATGACCTCAATACTTTTTGGTGACGCAATATATCGTCCATTATATTTACTTAAAAATTAATGTCACCATGTTTTTTGCATTCCACTTGCGCCAGTGTCTTTTGCAGCTCATGAGACGCTCGTTCAAATTAAAAAAATACTTCTACAAACAAAGTTTCATCTGCAGATATGATCTTGTTTAGGGAAACTGGCAAGACAAAACATGTGCAAATGATAAACTTTCACTCTTGTGATTGTTAAACTTAACGGTTAATCCGCGAATCACATGCGTGCCGAGAACCGTGCAGCCTGATCCGTACGGATCACGGATCATCTATGATTTGTTGCACCCCTAATTGGATGGGAGGAGGCATAAAGGTCCAGGTATCGAAGATTAGCTGCATTAACTTTTTATTTGAATTTCTTAGAATAAATCAGTAGGAATTTTAATAGTACAGCACAGTTTAGAAGAATCAATTTGAATGAAGATCTAAATTTTAGAACAATACTGTACTCAAGTACCTTAAATGCAATACTAGAGTTCACACAAATATGGAAAAACATGTCATTCAGGGCTCCAGACTGCGACTAAAACGGTCGCATTTGCTGAGGTCACCACTGGCGACTATATATATTTACATGTTATGACTTAAAAATTTGCATGCAATGCCTTGTAGCATTTGGACCAATCAGACACACAACTATTTGTTATATTTAACAAATAATCTCTAATGCCCCCTTCACCTAACCAAAGGGCCAACTATGAGGGTCTATGGACCCTTCCCCCGAAATGCAACTAACACCTCAAAAGGGCAGAACAGGCCTCTGGTTCCATGGCAACCCGAGACAAACCATCTGATAACACTAGTTTTATTGCTCAAAGGAATGCGGGCAGAGCACAACTCACAATTAATTTACCCTTAGGAAAGACACACAATGCCTATAAAAATGGACTCTTCTCTAATTAATTCATAGGAAAACCTTTCTTTGAATGAACACACATATACTTCAGGT